TGTGACCAGTGGTTGCTGGATTGAGTATGTATCCGGCAGGCACCGGAATTTGCGTCCCTCCCATTTACTCTCATTATTCATTTGAACTAGAGTTCATCTCATGGTTCATCGTCCTCAGATTTTATGCACCTGATCAAGGAAGGAGACCATTGAAGTTATCTGTGGAATAATGTCACAATTCAGTGATGATGAATTTATAGTGAGGGCATCATTTCCACTGAGATTATAGAAATTCCTATTTATTTGTTACAAAATCGACCATAGATCAATTTTCCCTTTTATTTGGAATATTGAATACACCCAATGTTGAAATTCATGTTACTTCTCTCAGCATCATATCAGGGTAATCGCTGTAAGGTGGCCATTGTCCTCATTTCCACTAAGGTTATGATAGTATCTGTGTAATCGCTATAATGTGGCCATGTAATAAATTATTATCTTTTGCTACAATATGATTTGGAGCGTGGATAACTTTTTAACTTGAGGATGCATGTTAAGTGTTAACATTGTTCACACTTTGTTGTTAACATTGTTCAACTACTATATATATATGTATGTATTTATAATTTTGGAATTGTTCTTACAGGTGTTTTTGCATGATTGGTGTTGATTAAGGCTGATAGGAGTCTGAAGGCAAACAAATAGGTGTTGGAGGGTTTGCTTCTAGAGAGTAACACGTTTCTTTCTTCCTTCAGTTATTATTTTCTCAATACTCTTGCAATTTCTATGATTCTGGACTAAATTGCAACTTCTTGAAGTAATATTTTGAGTAATTTTGATTACTTAAGTAAACTCTTATGATTTTGAATGCTTTGGTGATAGCAGGGTAATTTCTGAAAAAAAAAATGACATTGGATAAGAGTAAGAGCTTTTAGGAAATTGAAAATTTAGTCAGAAATGGGGGTTTTCAATTTCTCCTCTTTTCTTCCATTCTTCTTCCTCCTCTTTTCCCCCCTTATTTAATCTTTCCCATCCAAATAGTTTTGCAAATGTGGTTAAAATGCACACTTGTACTGTTTTGAGTAAATGAACATTTTATGGGTAGATGATATCATTTGGGATAATTACAATGACAACCCCTTTGGTTTGGACTGATTTCAAGGATTAACATCAGTTTAAAAAATCACATGGTTGGACATGCTTACCCCTCGTATGAGTCTTAATAGCATAGATGTCCCAACATTCCTTTGACAAAATTACCCTCATTTCATTTGCATATATCTTTCATTTAAATTTGCATTTTTATGTCATTCAATCCTAATACAGAGCCTTTGCTCCTATCTCTCACTCGGTTCATCCTGAAAATATCAAGGAAAATATGATGGAAGATCAAAGATATACTGTAATTTAGCAGAACTTTGCAGAGCCCACACACTCATTAGCATCGTTAATTGATAGGCATACTGTGGCATTATCCCATATGATTCAGCATGATTGCCCTCAATCTCTTCTAATGTTTTTCTCCTATCCTGTAAAACATCATCCACTTGCTTCTATCCCAAGTTCCTTATTGAACTTCATTGACGTAGCTTCTGATGCATTGTAATTGTTTGCCCTTAGTTTTTTCACCAATTTGCTAGCTGTCCATTCATAATTAGCTTCCCTGTTAATGTTCTGCCTTGCACAAGTGTGATTTTGACTGTGGGTCTTAATCATGTAAGTGACACCATCAGGGAGCAGTCATGTGATCAAAGGACATGCTGTGTAATGTGTATGATTTTGTCAAGAAGTCCATCCATTTCTGCCAAATTGCAAAATAACATTAAATTACAGCCAAATAGGCCCCTACCTGTACCCTGAAACCAACAAAATATCAACATTTTTTCCCATATTTTCATCAGTTAGAAAACAACAAAAAGAACCCTCAATCATGCAAAGATCACGTCAGAGGGGGAAAATGTCGACTCTCAGAATGACTTGACTAATTGGGAAAATCCAAAGAAAATCACAGAATCAGTAAAACAATTGTTTTCAAAAAGTACATTACCCCCAAAACACATAATCACAACAAACTATAACAAATACAAGTATCTTAACCCAGAAACACAGAAGTCACAATAAATTGGGCAAGCAGTATTAATCCAAAAAATGATGCATTTTACCCTCTAATCAAATTGCTTGTTGTTCATGAATCAAAACGAGACTGCCTTGATTAATGGCATAGCTCCTATGTCCATGCAGTGAGGCATGAAGGGAAGAACAAAAATTATAAACAATGGCTATCATGGATTTATGGGTGGTTGTTTATGCGTGTTGCAACTTTAGATTTCCATATTGTTTCATTTGAGGCGTGATTTATATAACATGTCATACAATGCCATAACGTGTGAATACAAAAGCAGGATTTATTCATGACTTTATTCTAATTAAAGACATGAGTTGTATTTTAATAAAAGTCCTTTTACACATATGGAATGCTCATGCTCGACGACATTAAAGGAAAATTCATTCTGCTCAGGTTTCTTATAACCCTCCAGTTTCACTTTTGTTTTGTTGACAACATTTGTGCAGTGCTTTCATATAAGTTTTTGGACCTTTGCACTTGTACCTCAGAAGGTTGCTCCTATTTTGTAGGCCAGATCTCTGGCCTTGATCACATGATTCACAATGATGATCACTTCTTTTGGCCATTTTTCGGACCTCTAATCCAGTTTACCTAAATTAAAAAAAAAAAAACATCCTTCTAGAAGATTGCCAAACTCTTAACTCTGCCATGATCATGAAGGCTTCTGATACTTCAAAAGTTTTTTATTTTCTTCTTGACTTCCTGTCAATCGTCAAGAACTATAGGATACACTCTTTGTTGACCCAAGTGTTTATTGCATTCGTACCACAGGGGACAAGGAATAAGACTCTTTCATTCTGCAGCAATTGCCAAGAGGCACGATACTGTCACTCTTGAGACTGTAGATGGCATAACAATTACAATTTGTGGTCTCATAAATAGGACCCTCTCACACCAAAATGGCTTTCTGCCAAAGGTATGTCAATTCTTTTGGTAAGATTCTCTTCATCCTGGCTTATGAATCACAATCTCAAATTTATTTGCTGATAGCCCTATTTCAAGTGATCAGATTGTAGTTTTTTTGGGTGAAACCAAAACAGATGTTGCAGATCCTGAATCCATGTTCTGTAAACATTATTAATATTAAGAGTAAAAGCCTGAATGTAGCAGGGGATGCACATTCAACAAAATGAAATTGCTTTTATGCTATTGTTCTGATGTTGCATCTTCCATCCTTATGGTCTGGTTCTCCCCTCCTAAAGGAAGTCCAAATTTTAAATTTGAACAGGTTTGCAATCATTTCCTTTTGGATTTCCTTATGACTGGGAAAAGTATGCTACTCAATGTTTTAGTGAGGACTCTCTAAATGGCGCTGATAAATCACGGGTTACTTGTTTAGACGGGTCCCTCACGTCCCCAGATGATGACACAGTCAGTTTCTTGCCTTTATCCATTGATGACCTCACAGTAACCCGCACACGTGATCTCTTCATGTCCACACTTGGGGAGCCAGAGAATTGTTTGCTAACTAAGAGTATTTTTAATGATATACTGCAAAAATGCAGTGACAATGCTTTTGCACATAATGGATCACCATGTCATTCAAACAAGGCAAGTAATAATCGGGGAATGACAGAGGATATTCCAGATGAAAGCCCAAGTAACAATAAGAGAACTAAGGTTGACCAGAAATGTAAAGATGCTACTGGTATCTCAAATGTAAGACACATGACGACATATGGATCTATTTGTAAATCTGTGATGGGGAAGGATGTTCATAACTTAACCAAACGTGTAGCCACAAGAAGCATGACCACTTCTACAAAGCATGGGCTTAGTGAACCACTTTCTGCATCGGAGTCCTCAGGGAGCCAATGTGGACACTCAGGAACCAGAAGAAATGCTTCTAGTGCTTTGCATGCAAATATATCATCTGAAGACAAAACAGAAGTTAAGCAAACTCCATTTAGATATGCAGCCAGGAGATTGAGGGAACTGAAGAATTCAAGTGATCCATCTTCTCTAGCAGAGGCACCTGGGAACGGATGTGAGTGGATGGAAACTAGGGTAAATGCTTCAAATGTATCCCGCGCTAGCAAGTTATTTGGAGGGGAAACCGAAATGAATGCAACCCCTGATAAATCTGTAATCAGGAGATCGAATAGACTGAAGAATCTAAAGAAGCCAGCATACTAAGGAGTGGGAACCAGAAGATGAATACATCAAATGATCTCAAACTAGCCCAGACAGCCAACACCGACTTAACAATAGAAGCCACTGGTTGGTGCAACCGTGTATTGGTTTGTAATCCTGGAAAGATTGTGGCAAATATTGGAAAAATGTTCAATAATGCTTTACTGGCTCGTGCGTCGGAGTAAAATTCAGGTATTTGTAACAGATTACTCTCCATATGTTCAGTCATAGGTTACATAAGCTTTAAGCCGTCTAGACAACCACCTCTGCAGCCTAGTTGAAAGCTTTTGTTTTTCTCTTAACTGTAGGATATAAAATATCTTAAAGTCCTTGCTCTTGTTATGCATGTTTTCTGTACTTCTGCAACTTCATTATGTAATTTTTCATTTGACTGTCATTCCCGAGGTTCCTATTAACAAGGATGTTCTTTGGTAATGGTGTTGATGGAGGTCTAAAGCCTTTTTCTTTGAGTAGAGATGTTGGATTAGATTAATGTTTGTGTCCAAATTCGGCTTCTCCCATTGCTTTTCAAGGTGTTTGATGTTGATGATAATTTTTCATCCGTAGGTAAACTAATAAAAGGGTAAATCATTGTGTTGCAAAATTTGTTGTCAGTATAGTTTCTTATTGTAAGCGCATTATCCAAATATCAGTTTCTAATAACTTCCACCAAACGTTCCATTTTTTTGCTCTTTCAAAGGTGAGTTCATGTGCATTTCGATTAATTATCTCTCTGGTTTGATCAAAGGTAGATTATTTACATCAGAATTACGCGTATTGCAAATTTTTATTAAACGTTCAATACATAAGATTTTGACACATTATTTGGAATATAACATTTGGTAAACAATAACCAAATTTATGAAGTATAGTTTTATCCTGATATTTAAATGATTTGAGTAGTGTATTGAGATCAATGAGCTCGTGGTAATTAAATGAAATCTAAAAGCATAATATGTTCTTAAAATGACCACCTGAATCAAAACACAGTACACTAGTATTTGGTTATCATGATATTTATAAGGATCTCTTTCTCAAAAATCAGACTTCAATGATGAACTAAGAACCCATCTCTCTCTCTCTCTGAGATTTTGAGATGGGAAGCTGAGAGATTCTGATTACACTATCTTCCCTCACACTGCATGAACGCTTACATGAAAAAAAGGACATGTTCTTCTTAGATCCAAGCCCGACATCATCTCTACTTGATAACTTACCTTTTCCATTACTCTTGGTGCACTCTCTATAAGCCATCAGAAAAGGGTCATCCTTATTTTTAACACTTTTCCTGGAAGAGCTTCTCAGAGGAGCTTGAAAACCACATGGAGGAAGAGGAATCTGCAGATCATGAAACGATGCCGCCCTAGCAGTCTCTGGCGGGCATGGTGGGGGCGGTAGCTTCACCGCGATTTTCCGGTCATCTTCACGGCGGTCTTGAGCCCCTACCTTTGAGACCCCTGGTTTGTTCTCCCATGAAAAAGGCACATTCCCATGGGAGTGAACCTTATTGCTACTCATCTTCCTATGATAAAAAGCCTAAAGGTGTGGAATTACGAAGAGAAGGTACTGGTTATGGTGTTTTATAGAGGGTTGTTCATTTATTTTATGCTCTCTAACTGCAAATCTTTCACAGGTCAAGCAAGTAAAACGTGAAGGAAGAGATGGGTAGTGGGTTTTAAAGGAAAATAACAAGAACAGATGATGAAGAAATGGGCTAAAAGACGAGTAGAAAGACCAGGTTTTTTCTATGTCTACGTCATGAGGGAGTTGGAAAAGTATGCAAAGAAGTTAAGAGGCTAGGTGACAAAAGTTAGGATTAATGTTGACTCAGACTACCACTTGGATATATGATTACAACAGAATCAATGTAGTTTATGTTTATGTGTGGCTTGAGTACTCTCCCTGTGGTTGGTTCATATACTCAACCACCTGGTAAACGTTGTAGTAGTATAGGGATTCGAATATCCCACAAAGTGTTCACCTTCTTAAGGTTATCGTTTATAGATTTATCTCCTTGTGTAGAGAGGCGATTTTACAAAAAGTTCAACACTAGTTCGGTGAGTAAACGGGATAATATATTGTTGTGATCCACTGGAACAGTTGGATTATTATAACTTACTTTGATAAAATTATGATCAAATTATCAAAAAATTCTAATATTTTATGGTCGATTGCAATTGTTTTTGAGTCGGAAACTTAAACACATTGTGTTATAGCCAAGACCAAATAGTTTGAATAAATATTTTATTAAATTGAATTGACTTGTATGCTCACAAATGTAATGCTTGCTTTGAAGTTTGTATGGTACTCATATTTTTGGAATTATTAATGATATCAAATATATTTTTTAAAATATTTTAGAATATTGATGCCACCTTACACTAAGCTGGTTTCCTGATTTGATTTGTTCATATATGTAGAAGTGCAATACGACACAAGGGGAATCAGTGATGACCCAGTTGTCCTTGAGCTGTCTATTTCATGACTTACCAACACATCAATATGGAACAATTTCGATTCAACCAATGCAACTCTACATAATTTATAACGCCAATGATAGTCGGGTCTAATTTGAAGACTTAATTATTATTATTTAATTATGAAAACGCGTGTAAATGTGTGGCCATGCCTTTGGTCTTAATAGTATTTAGACCTAATCATCTACTTGATAACATGTATGATCTTTTGCTATCGTTAGATTAGTATTGTGCTTCAGTATTGAATAAAGTTCAATACTACTTTAGTGACACTAATAATTTAGGTTATATATAGTGAATTTCAAGTAGCATTTACTATTTTTTACCTATCATTTTGGATGGAAGAGGTTCCCCATCTTAAATCTCTCTTCCACCAATGGATTTAGACGTACATGAACAAATCTTCTTCTTAATCTTCAAATAATGATATTGGCGGTACCATTGAATTAAAATTATAATAAATAAGTAGGTAAATTCCATATATTATAGTAATCATCATGTCATCTCACAGGTGGATCCAAGTGAGATTCACCTTACCGATTTATAAATTTATTATTAAATAATAATATTACGTATCAATGATGACGTGATGTCATAATTACAGTCAATATTTACTCGGCTGGTTAGGGTTTCTCTGTAACTCATTTTAATTGATTGACGAAGAATATCCAAGTAAAAATATGATGATTAATGTATAATATTGGACATTAATTATGTCATCACATTGATTTTGAGATAAAACAATAAATAAATGAATTTTGATGTCACCTTATACTAACTGGTTTCTGATATTCAACAGTTGAGGGTGTCTAAACTAATTTACATATATTTTGACTAATTTTTTTATTTGATTCAGTCAAAGGTAAATCATTCACATAAATATTAGGGTATTTAAAATAGATAAATTTCTTGTGACTTGACTCCAACAAATTATAAATATTCGAATTCAAAATATCTAAATTTATAGTTCGTCTCCGTTATTGTTTGAACTACTTCTCGGAATTGAACCTAAATGACTTGACCATACGCATATTTAGAAGAAACAAGCCATAATTGAGCAAATTAAACCCTAACCACTCTCTCTCTCTCTCTCTCTCGTGTGGGGTATGAAATGTTTTTTCTTTAATGGAATGAAAATAGCGTGTAGGAATATGCTTTAGGTATACGCCTTGACTGGTAGTCCATAAGTTTGATAAAAGTCTTGACATATTAAAATTCAAACCTGAACCAAAGAAGAAAAAAAAAATGTGAAGTTAGGTTGAGTAGGACAAAATTGACTTTTCCCCCTCATCCTCTTTTCTCATTTTTCACAATACAGGAAGAATGAAATTCTATTTGTATTTATTAAAATTGACAACTGTTGGTACGGGTCGCAATTCTATAAGCTTTTTCAATAATAGCAATTGAAGATAAGTTTGAAAAAGAACATAATAGAATCCTCAAACTGAAAGACATAAGAATTAAAGACAAAAATTGACCTTTTAATCTTTTTTCGTGACAAAATATACTACGCCCAAATATCAATTATATTATTTATTATATTTTAAATATAAAATATTATACAGTAAATATTTTACTGTAGAATATATTCCGACACGAGTTATTACTAACTAGTTACTATATCAAATTGGACTAAGCAATTCAAAGCATGGATTTTCAATCTAACATTTTTTTCGAAGAGGGAATTGTCATGTTTGAAAATTAGTACTAAAAGATGATTTTCCAATTCATTGTAACTTGAAATTTCGAAGTAATTGTGCACTGAGAAACGTGACGAATAATAAACAATATATATGGGTTTTCATAGTCTTGTACCACCTTAGAATTTAGACCGACAACTATCTTTTTTCAAATACAGTATGCTGCCGTCACTAGTAATTAATTGAAGAAAACTGCTGAAAAAAATTTATATAAAACAAAAAAATCATAACCCAAGAATGGTGACATATGGTATTGTTACACCATCGACGAAGGAGAAGTCTACGATAACAAAAAAAAAAAATAGAAAAAATTTAAAATGCATGTAAATTAGTTTAAATATTCTTTGTAATTGGTGAAAAAAATAAAAAAGAAGGAGGAGAAGTCTATGGCATAAAAAAAAAATTCAGTAATATACTGCTATTATAATTTGAATAATTCTATGTGCACCAAATATAATAGTGGGTTCTACTGATCTAATAGGATAATAATTTGATGCACATTTTTTTGTGTTCATAGCATTGTGAGTATTGTTGTGTGTGTTTTTATAACTTTTGTGATATTTTGCGATTGATATGTTAGGATCGATGGCAAAGCTACCACAAAAGTGATAAAACACACTCACAAAATTTATAAAATATCCACAAAAGTTATAAAAATATCCACAAAAATTATAAATTTTTTTATTTTAAAAACACCCACATGATTAGTAAAAATTGAAAGTGTTGTACCCAATTTATTTATTTATTTTTTTGTATCTTAGTCTGCTCTTCATTTGAATGGTATTTGTTTATTTTTTGATTTATGAGAATCAAAATAATAATAAAAAATTCAAAATTATAAATTTCTGAACCTTCATTTATAGATCTTTAGGTGACAACATTAGTTCATTTTGACAAATTAAAATGATTTTTTTTTTTATAAATCTTCTCACCCTGACGTTAGAGGTTCGAATTTTGAAGTCTAAATTAGAGCTCAATAGTTGACTTTTATACTAGCTTAACGGGAAAAATCTATTAGAGTGATCTCTGAACGCTCTCGGCGACCCCAACCAGCAGATCAATAAACAAGGTTCAAATAACACTTCTATTTTGTGATGATTACTGTCCCGTCCCAATGGCTCATGAAAAACCAGAAAATGGGCTCAATATAGGGGCCAAGGAAAGCTAGTATCAACAAGGGTAACCCACGGCCCGCCCGCTAGGCCAATTGGCTCATTCACAATCCACCCAAATCCGAAAGATCCTTGCTTAAAAATTTGCGGCTAGGGTTACAATTTTGGGGAGAAGACAACTCAATTCTGCTCCATCTTCTTCTTCTATAAAACCCTACTACTTATATCTACTCCCAAGCATCGCCGCCGCCCACGAAGCAATTTACTCAAATCTCTCTCTCTCTCTCTCTCTCTCTCTCTGTGTTTCTCCTCTTCCTTGTTTTCCTTCAATTTCCGAATTATCATTGTGATCCATTTTTTTGTTTTTGTGAATACGATCTCTCTTTATTCTTCTCTGTGAATTCTCAATCTTTATGTCTACTTGGTGGGTTCGCTGTGATTATAAAATAATTCCTCGTACTGAATGCTATTGCCATGGCATGACAGACCCATTTACACCCATAGAATATGAGCCATCCACCAAAATATGTGTTTTTTTTAATTATAATTTCTTGGTACTTTTTTTATTTTTTTTGAAATGTATTGTTAAATAAAGGTATTGAGTCTAAAGGGTCAGTTTTTGTGTTTCTTGAGTTGCTATTAATCAAAGTTTCATTTTTTTTCCTTCCAAATTTTAGTAAATTGATTGTGTTTATTTGTATGCAAATGCATTCACAAGGCAATGATTTGGAGTAGTTTGTGCCTCTTTTGTGTATAGGCATAATGTGATTTTTTTGAATTATTTATATTTCATTGACCGGTTGATCATTTTTTTTACTTAATTTATTATCTGAAGGAGCTGGCTTCGTAGTTTTCTACATGGCATCAAGAAATTCTATTTGGTGCTATGTGTTTTGGCCTCTCCTAAAATTTAGATTGGTGGTGTTTAAAGCCCTGATTTGACAGAATAATTGTATAGGTTAGGGTTACGCACGCCTCCAAATTATAGGATTCAATTTTCTTAGTCTTATTCCTCGTCAGTTGGCTTGTTAGGATTCTTAATTCATGTGATGTTAGCCTACATTGTTATTCCCCTTTTTTGTTGGAAATTATCATGCCATTCTGACAAATTTGGTTTAATTTCACAGCCCCCCAAAACTTGCAATTTTGTATTCAAAACTTAATGGTCATAAAGTAGGACTTAGTTGTCGTAATGAGGGATAAGTGGATCCGAAACTCTTCAAAAAAAAAAAACACAATGGAACAAAATTGGTTCAATTTCATCAAAGATTAACAAAATGGGATTACAAATGATTTTTTTCCACTCACAGTAAGAGATATCAAACATCAAGAGGGAACATATTCTTAGCTTGCTTACAACCCCCCAAAAAGAAGACATGTTCTTGACTGACAAACATATATGGGCCATCTTAAAAGGGCTGGAGCTCATTCAAAGAAAACATATTGAACATGTTATTGTGGAAACCGACTC